TAGAAAATTGTGTACCCCATGGACGCACCCCATTTAGAACAGTATTGCACCTCACATGTACCCGATTTAGAAATTTTTGTACCCCATTCTAAACTTGAACAGATGGCAGCCCTGGTGCTGTTGAAAACAAAAGTCACACTCACAATATAATTATTGATAAAGAAAATAACTCATGTACGCGATACACTCGAAGTCTTTATTGAACGCAATCGATCAAACTTTCAGTTTCTCTGAAAATTTTATGCATTGGTGGATAAATTTTCGTTTGAATATCCTTGGCTCTTAGAAAATGTTCTAATGCTTTCTCAATCGAATTGTGTTCTTTCCAATAACTTCCGATCAATATTAGACATTTTGACAATGATTGATATTCTAAATAAACATTTTTTTCTAACAGATTGAGTGCTCGAGTGTAATACCGTATTTTATTATTATGGGGTTCTTCAAGTTCAGCTAGTTTTAATAATAAATGTGCAATACTCGTATGATTCTTCAATAAATATTGTTCATGTAAAACTAATTGTTCCTTACAAAATTCAAATGCACGTTGTTTGTTGTTTTGTTTAGTATAGAGATCAATGAGTGACATTATACATTTAGTTCGTAAGTGGTCACCAATCAATAAATGTTTTTGACTTAATTCAAATGATGTTAGATAGAAAGCTTCCGCTAAATCGTATTTAGCTTGAGCAAAATAGATATCGCCAAGTGTACCTTGACAATAAGTAATTTCTGTAGGAAGATGCGGCCGAAATTGTTGGAGGTTGTCACGTGCTTGTAAGCATAAGTTCAACGCCTCATCATACTTTTTTTCAATTAGGTAGACATTACTCAAGTTTACTTTTGTTATGGAAGTATTGATAGAATCATTTTTACAATTCAATGTTTTTTCATAATACATACGTGCCATATCAAAATCCTCAATAGCTTTATAATAATTACCAAAATTATTAAATGTGATACCCATTGATTGTTGTTGATGAGATTTCTTTTTTCTTTCATAAGCATAGGTAAAGTTTCTAAATGCTTCATTCCAATTTGTCGTACGCATGTGCAGATCACCGATTTGCTCATAGACAGCTGCGCGATCTTTATGATCATTCGGCATTACTTGTAACATCATTTGAAAGTATGATTCAGCTTGTGAATAATGTCCCATATGTAGCAGAAGGTGTCCAAAGATTAAATTCATATTATTACACATTTGAAATTTTTTTCTCATTAATTTTAATTCTTGTTTTATGTCTTCTGTGCCTTCATCAGTTGCACACATTCGGATTAACCAAATTTTGGATTCTTGACAGTATTCGACTTGTTCAACTTTAAAAACTGAATTCATATTGAACAGAACTTCACTTTCACCATTTAGAATACCTCTGTACTCATCGATGTCAACGAAGATTACAGTTTCAGACTTTGAGCTATCTACAGTTATTTCGTAGAGTACGACTTTGAAGTCATCTGAATTTTGTGCCCCTAAAATGAACTGTTTTGCAACATTAATATCCTTCGATGTCGACAAGAATCCGTTCGTTGAAATGCTACTGCCGATATTAGCTTTTAGATTCTCTAACTCTACCGTAGGCATGCGAGCCTGACCGCGGTAAATGATCAAAGATTTAGTATGCAAATTTCGCTTTTTTTGTTGTAGACGAAACACATTCTCCAGTTGGTTACACAAATCGATAATATAAAATCGAAACAAATACCAAAGTGCAATGTCTTCTGTTCGGAATGCATGATTAACAAGTCGATAAACAAAACTATCGAGTGTATACCAATCGATTGCTTTATCAAACGTATAAGTATTACGAAAAAGTTCAATTTTTTCAAGTTCAATCTTATTTCGACGATAATAACCTTTACATTGATTGATCATTATTTGTTTGGCTTCTTCTGTCTGAGACATATGCTTGAGAATTTCCATGAATGATAGATATGAAAAGTAAGCTGAACGATTGCAGTAATTATGTACTGATGATGAAGAACTTATAGATCTTACTGATTTTAACGTTTGGTTTTGAAATAAATTAAAATTTAATGAAGGTAATTCACGTTCTATGGAACTCTTTAAAGAATGATGTTCAGTACATATATCCATAATATTTGAGTATCTATCAAGTAAATCAACGTATTTATTATAGATTCCACAGAAAATAATTATAGATGCAATTTGTTCATGTATGGTTGATAAATATTTTCGAGCAAATGAACCTGATATAACTAGAAAAATTTTTCTATTTTCTTTTTTGAATTGTTCAAGAGTATTGAAAAAAGTAATCGAATCATGATAGAATAAGCAATCATCATTGTTTATTTGTTTAAGCAATGCCTTCGTACTTAATGAATCAAGTGAAGTATCATTTGATCGCTCATCAAACCATATCAATGTAAATATTTCAACTTTTTCATCTTCGATTGATGAAAAAGTTCGTTGTTGTATATGCAGTATATTTTCAATCGACTTTGATTGACTCTTTGTATCTGCTGTCTTAGATGTTGTTATACCCATTTACTTAAGATTATAAAAGAGTCTAGAAGAAAAAAAGAAAAACACATCGTTTGATAAGTTGCTTAAAGCACAGTATTATAGCTTTTCATCATAGAAAATATATTCATGATGATATCTTATCGCAAGTTTTGGATTATTACATTTTGCTTTATATGTCAATATCAAAATGTTTCTCTTGTCAGCTTCTTGTCATTCAGAGAAAGAAGCAAGTGCAAAGAAAAAAAATACTCAATGATTAATTTTGAAAAAACATAGACTCACGGTTTTTTTTCTGCTATTGAATAATGATATCCAGGTTTGTGTTATTAAAGTAAAAAAAAAATAATATGGGACCTCTCTATTCACTTCCTTCTTTTTTGATTTATTGATCATAGAAAATAAAATGAAACTGTTTAATATGAATAAATAGGTGAAGTAGTTCTTTATTTGGTTTCTTTTCATTGCATATTAAACATCCATACATTATGTATTACTAATTAGTCCTCAGCATGATGCTTTTAGATTTCTATATTAGAAAAAATAATCTTTTTCTATATTAATGCGCATAAATTTTCTGCAGACTCCCAGCATACATAATCAATTGAATGTTTTGTGACACTCTATTATTTTCATGTTCTTTCTTTTACTCAAACGTACGTCTCTTATACGTAGAAAATGTTTGGTCAGCTAGGTCTAGCTTTTCGTCCAAGAAACAATCATCAAACACAGTGTTTATCCTGTCGAATAAAAATTTTAACTCTATCCGTAGCTGTAATTCTCATTATTTTCTTATCAATAGGCATCGGTGTAGGAGTCTCAATGAGAGGCAGACAACAATTACATCGAGACCAAGGTGTACAAACAACTACTAGACCAACTTTTCTCTTGCAAAAACCAGGTAAAATGCATTTTAAGGACATGAGTATGTGTTATACGGATTAAAGAGTTGTTATTTCTTTAGTTGTAGGCAACAATACCTTATCGAATGGAACCCTAACTTGTCATCTACCTCTATTTCCAGTTTACAATCGAACAGATAATATCGTTCTTGAGGGTACAGATGACTCGGTCTGGGGTAATAGTTTCTTTTTGGATAGTAAAAAGAACCTTTATATAATTGAAAAAGTGAATTATAGTGTAATAAAATTTATTCCGAATTCAAAAACAGGCATCATTGTTGCAAAGAAAAGTGATATATATCCTAAGTTAAGAGTTCCAGAGACGATATTCGTCGATAGTAATGATAATGTATTTGTTCTGGAAAATAATCTTTGGGATGAAGAACCTCCTAAAAATCAATATCGTGTCTTAGTATTCTGGCCAATGAAACATAATCCTCAACTATACGAAGGAACTGAATTTATTAATGGTAGTGGCAGATGTTATGGTATTTCTATGGATAGTGATGCAAACTTTTATACAGCTGAATATGATAATCATAGAGTGTTGAAATGGCTCGCTCCATTTTATAATTCCACTGTTGTCGTTGCTGGTAATGGAACAGAGTCACTTAAACCTGGTTTATTGAGTAATCCAACAAATATTTACATTAGTCCTTTTAATAATGATCTTTATGTGTCAACTGGAAATGCTATATATAGAGAAATTAGAAGATGGCCATTCAATTCAAGTACAAGTGTGAGAGTCTGGGTACGCGCTGGTTTTCTCTCATTGGTAGATGGTTATGTGAGAACCGATTGCAATGATAATATGTATATTGTATCTGAGTCTAAGATTATAGAATTCTTTAGTCCAACTTTGGAAAGAGGTGTAAATGGAGTGAATCTTTTAGATGTAAATGGCGATGGTAGTGGATATGCGATTAGATCAATCGAGATTGATCCTACAAATGGGGATATCTATGCGTTAGATAAGACTTCAAGGGTAATACGAAAATTTAATATCGTTGGTGAAGCACACATTAGAAGTATGTATTTCATCTACGTAATTAGAATATACCAAAAGTAATGGCACTAGCACTATAATATCATATAGAAGGCTTGAGGGAAATCTCGTTTATATGTCCTCAATATGTCTTCATCCTTCAATTTGATATGATAAAAATAGAATTTGCATAAAATCCAACCAAAAGTTATAAATTAAGAACTTTATTCTGTTTTTACTGAATAGGTTCCACCTCTGAAGATAATTAAAAGATGATATAAAGAGTTTCACAGAAATGCCGAGCACAGATTGAAGATAAAGCATGAACTGACAAAACTAACGGGCGAGTCAGATTAAATTGGCGGCCTTTGTGAACTAGATCTCTAAGCAACCATTTAACCCTATTTGAAAACAAAGTGTTGTGTTAGATAGAGCAAGCAAAGCTCTACATTTCTATATAGAAAGCTAATTTAATATACAATCCTTTCTGTTTGAAAATATCCAAAATATAAGATGAATAAAAACTAACATTGCTCGCTAGTTCATTTTTTAAGTACAACACATACAACTTTTTT